TTTTATATTATTCTTTAGTTTAGTTTCATGAGGCGTCATCGTTTCACTTAGATTAACGTTGACTTTGTTACTAAGTGTTGGTTCTAGATCTTAGCAATGATCTTTATGCTTCCTGCTTTGTTTCTTCTTATTGTCGTCAGAATTAAAAGCTTGAATCCAGACTGTTTTCTCATTGAGTGCGTTTACATGCAGCCAGTAACCCTTTTAAAACCCGAATATTCACAATAACCCGGTTCCGCAGGTCCTTGTAAACACCGCCAGAAACCCGGATATGCTCATAACCGGGTTTTAAAAACCCGGTTACTACACCTGGGGTAACCCTTTTCTAACCCGAATGTTTGGTCGTGTAAACGCATACCGGGATATCCCATCAAAGCGTGTGTTCTGCACACAGCTCTGTTCGCAAGGAATCTTGGTCTTTTGAGTAGCGAGACGTCTTGTATGCGCCAGAACACCGGAAGTAAACAACAAGTTGGGAGCAACATGGCGAGTCGCGGCACAGCACCACACTTTGAGTGACGAGGAAACTAAAGCGCAAACAAACGAGGTCGCTATCTCTTCGAACTGGGAAAAATGTTGTTTTCACGGATACCGGAATGAGAAGAACCGGAAATGACGCATATTGCCCTAACGCTACCCCAACGTCCGCATTTACATCAGGTTATGCAAGTTAGGGGTGACTCTTTCTATTTATGCTTGTAAACGGGTTATTCTGATCAACTCAGAAACCCGAATACCGACCTTAACCCGATCATAACCCGGATATTGGCTGCATGTAAACGTACTCATAGTGTGATAAGTCTCTAATAACATCCTACAACACTACACCTGCTGTCTCCCACTGCCCACTCACCTACTCAGCTCTGTGACTACCTCTGTTGGCTCTCAGGTGGATTAGTGGAGGATCAGCTTGGAGAGCCCATTCCACCTCTGGACTTTCACACAGAACACCAACAAAAGCACATCAGGAGCAGCTTGGAGGTGTTGTGAGAACAGCTGATTGTTTCCAAGGGATCTCAGAACCCTATTGGGTGTATGTACAGGAATGAGGTCGGACATGTATTTTGGTCCCATGCCATTGAGTGATTTATAAACTAGTAGAAGCACTTTGTAGTCTATTCTGTAGTTTACTGGTAACCAGTGTAGAGATCTAAGAACAGGAGTGATGTGCTCCGTTCTCTTAGTTCTTGTTAAGACTCCAGCAGCAGCATTCTGAACAAGCTGCAGTTGCTTCACAGCTTTTTTGGAAAGACCACTGCAGTAGTCCAGCTGACTAAAAATAAAAGCATGATTAAGTTTCTCTAAGTCTGGTCTGGACATGAGCTCTCTGACTCTTGATATTTTGATGAAGATGATAAAACGCTGATTTAGTTATAGCCTTAACATGTCCAGAGAAGTTCAGGTCGGAGTCAGTATTAACACCAAGATTTCTAACCTGGGTCTTTGCCGTTATTCCCCTGGAGTCTAGCTGAGCAGTAACATCCATTTGATCCTTTTTGTTGCCAAAGACAATAACTTCAGTCTTGAAGGAAGTTTGACTGCATCCAGTCGTTAACTTGCTCTAGGCACTGACCGAGTGAGTCCAGTTGTTGATAGTCACTAGGTGATAGGGCTAGGTAGGTCTGGGTGTCATTAGCATAGCTATAATAGGCAATGTTGTAATTAAGTATGACCTGACCCCTGGCATTTTTTTAATCTTGTGGCTGTAAAATTGTAATAAAAAGCACAAAGTGTGTGTAACACTCTCCTTTTTTCAGAACAACAGCTTTCAGTGTATGGTTTGTATTTAGAAATTATTTCTATTAAAGCCTTTAAAAGATCAGCTTAAATATGAAAAAAGCAAAAAACGGATTTGAATTTTTTACATTTATTACTGAACAGGAACTTCAAAATTACTGGGCAAACAATTTAAACTTTGAACTGAAATGCATCTATTCTTAAAAAAGTGTGAACCTTGGTATCACTTTTAGCTGTTTTTAAGACCATTTATTTTTGTAAACTTTCAGACGTTTTTATTTGATAGACCTACCCTATTTGGTAGGCCTTGAAGCAGTTTCTCTCCAGCTGCAGGCAAAGCGCACCTCACACTGCCATGGGGTGCTTCTCTTGCACACCGTGCACTGCTATACCAAAAACTCTTGTTTTAGCAACAGTGTTGGGCAAGTTACTTCAAAACTGTAATGCATTATTTATTACTTGTTACCCTCATTTTCAAGTAATTCATTACATTACAATACTACTAATTTTAAAATTAGTAGTATTGTAGTACGCTACAGCATTACACTACTTTTGCATTACTTTAAGTTACTTTCACCAAAACAACTTCAATATGAATCTGGTAATGTGACGCTCAGTGAGCTCATGACATATATGTGGAAGGTGATGTGGTGTCTGAGCTAGGGTTGCTGTTAAAAACAGTCAGATATAATAACAGTGCTTTAAAATGATTGTTTATTAAATAAAAGCAACAACAATCTGTACTCTCAGCACGCTGCCGTCTTATATTAACTGAGCAGGGAGTGAGGTGGTGGGGGCTCCAAGCCTATATTTGCCTTGGTCCCCAAATGCCTTGATACAGCCCTGGATGTGGGACTGACTTCTGGGGTGATCTGATTCTATCACATGTATAAATATTAAATGCTTATATATTATTGCTTTTCACTGGTAAAAATGTGTGTTGGGGATAAATCTACCAACTTTTTTTCTTTTCAAGCACTTTGGTTTTGTTTTCTTGATTTTGTTTGAATAATTTCCGGCCCTTTCTCTCTCTAACCTTCCTGCATGCTGCATGTTTTCTCCGTCTTCCAGAAAAACAGTTTTCTAGATTTCCTACATTCTAACTAGTCAGCCAAAGGGATCTACCGAACGCAAAAACATAAAAATAAAAAAAGCTTAATATGCGCTGCGCTCCAGCAGCAAAGAGTTTAAATCACCGGGGCACAGATTATAAACTAAGCTGAAAAGTACATGAAGTACCAGAGAATATGGGCTGATATAAACGATCGCAAACGAATTACTTTGTTTTGGTGGAGTGATGTAGTGAATATAACAGCGGCCGCGCGCAGGACGCAGCTGGAGTATTTGAGCCGTTACCGCTACGTCCTCTCTGCTCACAGAATGCCCGCAAAGCTGAGTCCATAAATG